CGGATATTGTGTTGGTGATTTTTACCTTGAAGGGTAAATTACACCGTTCTTTATTTAATTTTACTCTCTCTTATTTTACTTACCATACTTTCAATTTTTTTAATTTGCTCATTGAATTTTACAAATTGAATTATATTGTTCATTTTGTCGTTAACTTTTTAATGGTGTTATGACATTACACAAGTATCTAAACACCGTTTTAAAAAACTCAAATATAAATCAAAACGACTTCGTTTCGAATCTTCTTCTTTCCTCTCATTTTCTCTCCACTTTGAAAATAATGTGACCGATTATCGTCGTTATCTTTCATTCCGACCATCTTCTACCGTCATTGATGGTGGTCGTTCGATCTCAAAATTCATGGGTTTATTCGTCTCAACCCCTGAATCCAAATATGGCGGTTGTTTCACCGAAAAATGTTTCAGAATCCGTGAATCTCGACTGAAACGTTTTGACTTTCTCACTTTCAATATTCAATTCGTGAATTTCGGAGTAAGTTTCGACAAAATGGAAGTAGGATTTAGACTCTAGGTGGCGAGGCGAAGCGATCCATGAAATTTGAGACCGAACGACCACCATCTATGATGGTTGATGGTGGCCAGCAGTGACATTCTATCAACTTATGTTTTTATTTTATTGTTAGGTGAGCAAAATAAGAGAGAGAGTAAAATTCAATGAATAATACTGTAATTTATCTTTTGCATTTTTAATTATTTTATATTAAATAAAAAAATTACATGTAATTACAATATTAGAGATAACAAAGAGCGAACAAATTAAAAAATTAAAAATATAAGATGAATAAAATAAGAAAAGAAGTGAAAACGGTGTAATTTATCCTACTTCAAGTTTCACTTCGTCCCGATTTAACAAGCCCAGAAACAGAGGCAAGAAAAGAAATGATCCATGTTGGCTACGAGTCTATCGGGCCTAAAACATTCTCCACGTGTCAACACTCTGTTCAATAACACACTCAACCCCCTAATCCAGATTACATATCGATTTTCATCTTCTTCTCCCTTCCCTTCATCTCTGTCCATCTGATCGCTTGAAAGCCTGCAGCTGATGTAGTTTTGAAATAATTTTGATATTGTGAGGACGAAATTAAATACCCAGAATTCTATTCTCAGTGATTCCCCTCAAAAAAGAGGAAAACTTCCTCCTTTTCTGAGAAAAAAATGGTGCAGACCCTTTCAATAAGCAGGGGCTTAACAAGCTCAGGAAACACAGCTGTCTATGGAACAGAAGTAGTTGGGAGGCGTCATTTTGAGATAATTGGAAAAGCGCCCATGAAATCTGGGATCGGTAGACGATTTGTCTGCCGTGGGTACGTGCCGAGTTTTTACTTCGAAGGCAACCCCAATTTGTTGAAGAAGAGGGGCTTTGGGGTTAAAGCTGTATGGCCATTTAAAGGAGGTGACCAGGAATTGGGTGCAAGCTCAGAGCGAAGTGAGGCTGCTAATGAAGATATACTGATTTTCTTTTTCCAGTTAGACTTGGCTACTCAAGTTCAGGTTCGATTAGGGCTTCTTTTTTAATCTATGATAAGAAATTTTCATCTTTTCTTACCAAGAGTCCAAGACAAGCTTCTGTATTTGTCTTTCGGTTCATAGGATTTGGTAATTGGTGTTTGTGTGTTTGTGGATTTGCAGCGTGCTTTGAACTTGGAGGAATATGAAATTGCACAACAGCTTAGAAACAAGCTTAATGAGGTTAGAAGTGACATCTTTCATCCCCATGGCTGTCATTGTTAATGGAATGATTAGCTTCGGTAGAATCATTTACTTTTCATTTTACCCTTTCATGTATCAGTTCTTTACTGCTTTATATATACTGTCATGAGTCGTATGTATGCTCGGTTGCAATCCGACTCTTATGGTGATAAATGGAGTTGGGGATGTGTATGTATGTAGTGTGTTTATTAATATGTGTTCTGCTTGGAAGGTTGAAGCAGAAATCCTTAAGCAGCAAGAAGAGAAAAGAGGTTTATCCCCAAAGAGTGAAGCACAAGATAAGGCTCTAAGTTTGGTGCGTCTATGGTGAGTCCCTTGCTTATGTTATATGCACTCTTCTTAGAGTGCAGGCCAATTGATTTTTGTGAGAGATTGAGTTTTTGTAGTATCTTCTTTTTTATTTGATTTTGAGATGCATTTGGGGTCCTTTAGACTATTTGATTTCCTTCGTTTCGTCGCAGTGGAGAACTGCAAAATGCGATTGAGAACGAGAATTATGCTTTGGCTGCTCAATTGCGGGATGACATCTCCAAACTGGAGGCAGAATCTTTGGCTGCATCTGCAAAAGCATTGGCACATGAAAATGCACAATATGCATTTCGTTTGGGACAGAAAGTCCAGCATAAAAGTTTTGGTATATAGCCAAATATGATCTCCACTAGTCTTTTGTTTTCCTCTTCTTTTTTGTTCCCATCCATCCTTTCTCCGAAGTTTCACCATAATATGCATATTGCAGTATTCAGTTCAATAACTCATGTTTCTTTCTGTATCTAACTATTGCTCGCAAATATGTTATTACTGCTTTCGTACTTGATCATTGCCCCACCCGCTTTTTCTTTGTAAAGATAGAGAGAAATAGGACGTAAGATGAGAGTGGAGGACAACACCTTAAAGTTTTACATAGCATTAATATGAGGTTTTTGTCCTCTTTTTACTATCTTCCTCTACTTGTTCATCGTTTTCAGGTTATCGAGCTGTAGTTTGTGGGATGGATCCAGTGTGCTGTGAATCAAGCGCGTGGATGGAAGCTGCACAGGTTGAAAAATTGTCTCTTGGTTGTAATCAGCCATTTTATCAGGTTTGATCAGTACTAGACTTGCAACACTCGGGAGTGGGTGGTATACTCTTCCCTATAATCGAGATATTATTATTTTGCTTTTAATGCAAATATGAAAGAGAAACCAATAAAACATAATTCTTATACGGAAAACGTATTCATTTTGACCAGCTAAATCCAGATAGGTCTTATGCATGCTTCCTTTAAGATCATACCATGCAATGAAGAGATATGATCGAACTCCATAGGGTGCTAACTTCTCTTAGCCTATAACCTAGTCGACGATCATTCAAATGTCGAACCTTATACACACGTTCTTCATTGATTTCCTACTTTAAAGTTTGTTTGTCATGTAATATCGTAGGGTCTTGTGCTACAGAAAGAGAGGGCAAGAGAGAAGGGAGTGGTGTTGCGTACTTACTCGGAAAGGAGACCCATGTTCTTATTCATATTACAATTTTATAAGAATTTACCGATATTTAATGCAGTGATAATGTCCAAATATTAAGTGAATTTGATGGGAACTAACTTAATCGAATACACAACTACGGTTTGTAGCAGGAATGAGATCATTGGGGGCACGGCATGGATCGATTTAATCATATGTTTCTAATGAGGTCTATGTTGTTTGTCAGGTCTTGGTTGATGTATATGCAGACCCTAATCTACTAGTAGCATATGGTAAACCATTTCGGTATCGCTGTTTACTTGATTCCTTTAGACATTGATTACCTTCTCTCTGTTTGTTCGAAGCTGGTCGAATCTCCATTGTCATTTATTTTACTCTCATTGAGTTAGGGTCCGGAACTGCAGTTGTATTCCGTCTTTTCTCATAGTTCTTACATGCACCGGTGAACACTATATGTGATTTTTCTTCTTTGCAGTTCCTGAGGAGAATCTTTCAGCCCCAGAGGAACCAGAGTTGGTGAGTGGGATTGTAATTACACAACTTGATACTCGATTTTATTCCCTTTAATTCATGGCGGTGACCGTCGATATCCATGTGCAGAGAAGGTTCGATCATCCCTACGTTTCTTTTCTATTTTACGGGATGGATGCAGCCGGAGATTTCATCCCTATCAAGCAGCTTCGCGAGAAGTACAACAAGCCCCGCCATGAAATTCCGCTTGATCCCGAAGACGATGAAGGTGGAGGTTCTTTCTGATCAGTATGTAAATATCTCTTAAAAGAGTCTTTTTACTCGATCCCCACTGAAAGATATAAAATCCTTTTGCACTAAAATTTTAAGAATTTTATTTGGTTAATTGCACTATAGGTCCCAAACTATGGATCAAATTTTAAATTGGTCATTAAGCAGTTTTTCCATTTCAAATTAAATCATTTGCTTTCACTTTTTATTCGTTCTCAACAAAATTACTACGCTGACAACTATTTCATATAAATTTATTTGATTAAATTTATTATAAAATGAAAAAGGGGGAGAGTTGGAGTGATATGATATAATATAAGGGTAAATTACGCTTTTAGTACCTAAATTATTATCCGTTTTAGTACATAATTTTTTTAAAATAATACTTTTGTTTAGTTTTTATTTCCTTTTAGTATTTTATCGTTAAAAATTTAACACATTTAGTACTTAAAATAACAATTTTGATCCATTTTAGTATTTAAACTTTTAATTTTTTTAAAAAAAATAACATTACATTTTTGAACTGAGTACTAAAATGAAATAAAGACTAAATTTTAGGTATAGTTTTAAAAAAATTAAAAGTTTAGATATTAAAATAAAAAATTTAAGTATTAAACGCTTAATTTGCCCATAAATATAAAAAAATAAAAACAATGAAATGTGATTGCGTAAGAGAGAATCTAGAAGGGCAAGATTGTACGCCCAACCGACCAATCTCTGACCCTCCCGACATCAACATTTTTCAGACAACGATAGCTTACAAAACTTAGATCTTCCTCATTCCCTTTCCACGCGCCCTCCCTCCTCGTCTCCCCCCCCCCCCCCCCCCAAAAAAAATAGAAATAGTTTAGAGTCACTTTATGAATTCTTTATCGGTTATGTTATTAAAAATACCGTGATCGAACAATCGTACTACTACGTATACATGCATTGCAAGAATCAGCTCGAAAACAACAAAAAAAGCTCTAATGGTTGGTTATTCGTATATCATACCGTTTGAAGAAATCATGCAACTTTATTTATAGACAATGTAAGTTGTTCGTAACCTTTCGAGGACATACGATTAAGTATAGCCGGATTTCATGCTACTGTGTACACAAAAGGCTATGAGAAGCTCTTCCCAAGTGTGATTCGAAACAATGACCTAGTTCCCTCTGTAATATACTCGATTAGGTTAACGCAAGAGATGGTACTGGGGACATCTTTGCCTGCGAGGCCGTCTAGTTGTCTTTCCCCATCCGGTAAGGCTTCGATCCTCCGGCCCCAGCTTGATATTATTAAGTTGTTGCACCAATGGTGTACAACTTGTGGCAGCAGGAGGAGAGCTAGTTACCGAATGTCGTCTGCCTCTGCCGCAACCGCCTCTGTTAGAATTTCTTCTTGTCAATCCCGACTGCCACTGATGGCCTGTTGCTCTCATAAGACTTCCAAAAGTCTGAATATCTTGTGTCACCTCGTGCCTCGATAGGGAAACGAGGCCTGGAAGGATGTCCCTTTGGAAGTCCCTCCGTTGCCTTCCTCGCCTTCCCTGGCCCTTTCGTGTTCGTGTTGTTAACAATGAGGTAATTCCTGTTTCTTCCACTTTAAAGTTTTCGGGAACCAGAGGTTTGGGCATATAATCCTCTTCCTTGGTTTCTGCTAGGTTCAAAATCATCGATTCAAAGTAATCGATCTCTTCTAAGGAAGATTCATCTCGACCCTCATCTTTATCTCTCGAAAAAGCCTCTAGCTTGCTCTCAAGATCCTCGCAAAAAGAGGAAACCGTCTTGGCAAACCAATTTAGGGGGTCACTCGTAGAAGTTTCAGATGAACTGCTACTGACATCTTCCAAATGAATGTGCTGAATGGATGATGAGATGGCAACTATTGCCTCAGCTGCACTCTTCAGTTCATGCTGGATGCACTCATCTTGGCTTTGTGCTGCTGATTCCAAAGTTACACCTTCCTTTGCTGATAATTCTTCTCCATGAATAACATTCTCAGGTTCGGGAACGAGAGGAGCTTCCAAATCTATTATTCCTCCAGTCATCCTCACACTGGTGCTCGAAACATTCGGTATAAAAGAAGCTTCATCCTCATCAGCACACGAGTTCAAGTCAATTTGATGTTTGAAACATGATAACTTTTTATCTGCTTCCTGCTCTATGGTTGAATTCTCTGCAACAATGTCTTGGCTTGCATCAACAGTCACATCACAAGGCAAATTAATATCGAGTAACCTATTTTTCCACTTATATTCCCCTTCACCTTCGGATGTCCGAGGAACAGATACATACGGGGAGGTAAAAGAAGACTCATTTTTCGGAACATGAGGTTTTTCGAAAATGGGAATCCCTAGAATCTTTTTATCGCGTAGACATTCACTTATTTCACTCCTGCTGGCATCGGCATTGTTGGAGGATGAATCTGACTTCAAATTCTGTGTAAACATTTGACCGAAACCATTGCCAATCTCGTCTTCTTTAGTTGATTGCTGTGGAGAAGATTGAGAGAAGCTCAACTCTCTAACATTCAGATCCATTCCTGCACTTAAGCCCTCATTTTTACAAGCAGGCTTGGCCTTTAGCCATGGCAGCCATGGCGAATGGTTTCCATGCTTTATTCCTCCATCTATTTGAGGACCTCGTAGTGAAACTGGATTGTTAGATGAACTGTTTGAAAGCACCACATTCAAATTCATATCACTTGTAGACTTCATATCACCATCATTTGAGCAGTTGTATGGTTTAGTCGAACCATGAGCAGAGAATTGATCGAAGATCCCCTTGCCAGAAGCAGCACCATTCGCATAATCATAACTGGTTGAAAGGAAGTGTATTGCAAGTTCCTTTGATCCCAACAAGGATCCATAACAAAAACCATTTCGATTGGGCAATTCTCTTCCAAAACCTGGGTTAAGTCTTGAATTGCTACTCGCCGGCCACTTCTCTCCGAGATTCCCATCGCAATGGGGTGATATCACAGAACTCTTACTATAAAGATCAGATGAATTCATAAATGTGCAAGCCTGAACTGACATGGACTTCAGGTTTAAGCTACTGGAAGGCTTTTCCGAAGAAGAAACTGAATGAGACCATAGATTTTCCGGATCAGAAGAAGCAAATGGACCCAAACTAGGAACATTGAAACCCATGTTTGAATCTGGATTGCTATTATTGGAAATTTCACAATTTCTTCCCGGAACTTCTAAACTGTGAAGCATTCTTTCTCTTGAGAGACCTGCCTCGCTTTGATCAGTTGGTGAAAACATTGGTGGATCATGAGCTTTGTCAAAAAGACCATGTGCATGCTGGTATGATAAAGACAACTTCTGTGGCTGGAAACTTTGTGAAATAAATGTCGAGTTGCTTCTACTGTGCCCTGAAAACCGAAATAACAAAAATGGAATTGTGAGTGTCCGTTATCATTCAAACAAGACGTGGCATAGAAACAAGACGTGGCATAGAAACCAGACTAATACCATCCGGTCAAAGCCAAAGAGTACAATACAAGAATTACAAAGGGAATATAATGCAATTCAGTAGTTGACAAGTGAGTGTTACCACCTTCAAGCACATGGGAAAAGAATCCTCTAGCATTCTCGTTTTTTCCAACATGCATATTATTTACAGACCGATTATCACTTTGGTGATGAGAATTCACAGAAATGTCTTTCGGCAAGCCAAGAAGCGCTGGCTTTGGTTTAGCAGACGATTCACGGCCTCCATGATAGGTATCATGGCCAACAAAGTGAGAAAATGTGGAAACTTCAGTTTCTTCAATTTGAACTGGATCATTCAAGTCAGCCAAACTATTTTTGCCCCTCAAACATGCATCTTGCTTCCCACCGCTCTCAGGCCCAATTTTCCCATTTCCATTTGGAAGATAACTTGACATGCCGGATGTTGTGTCATCCCTGAACTCTTCAGCTTCGTCAGTATCAATGTACTTATCTGCTGGAAGTTGAAGATCAAATATTTTCCTTACTTTTATTGGCCTGCAGTCTAGCACCTCAACGTCCTTGGAATTAAGTCCATTTGGGGACAAAAAGGGACCAGCTTGGATGCTGCTTCCCTTCACGGAACTAAGGGGAGAATGAGCATCTTCAACACCAGAAATCGATGGTCTACCACAAACAGAGTTCGCCACAGAGAAGTTGGGGATATGCCAGTCGTGAGCAACTTCATTTTGAAGTTGTGACGTTAACAAGCTTGATGATGAAGATAGTTCAACAGGAATCTGATTTTTCTGTAATTCTTTATTTTTTGCTTCAACCATCAAATCCCTTTGTATTCTATACAGGCGATGAAGCTCAGATAACTGGATGAAGATACAGAACTCAGATACATAAATATCGGGGGGAGGGGGAACGAGGTGAAACAAACACTCAAATTCATTTCAAAATGGCCATTTTAAAAACACTCAAATTCATCAGCTGAGACCTTATTACCTGATTCTGAAATATAGCCTCATGTTCGAGCATTTTTCTCTTCAACCGGTCCTTATCATGTTGAGGATATGAATTTGCCACAGCCTTCGGGAAAAAACTATTGTAGTACTGACCATTTCTCAAAGTCTTATCCCCGTAATAAAGTGGCCAGCTACGACTATTAGAATCCTCGTTGAGATCCCTCATTGAGTAAAATCCTGGCAAATAGCTTTTCGACTGAATTTTTGTTCCCATTCCTGAAATTGTTCAACAAGTCTAATTAATATGACATACAATGAACAATCATGGCTACAATTAACACTCGTCGTTCATCGAATTGCAGAACTGTTAATGCACTATCTTAGAGACATGATCAAATTTCTCGTAACTTACTTGAATAAAACATAATCAGTAAAATCCAATTATCACTCGGGTTTCATCACAATCAACTGTTACTGAATTGACAAAACAATTCGGAAAATAAAAAAATATCAGCCAGAATCGAATAAACATGAATAGTTGCAAGCCAAAGCAACAAAATGTCTATGGCAAAGTAATATGATCATAAATTCATAACTAATGACACTAAAAGCAGGCAAAAAATCATAACTGAATCACCAAAACCACTTTCATGCACGTTTAAAATCCCCAGATAAAGACAGAATCTTGAAGAAAAAGGTGCTGCTGGGAGGGGGGGAATTAGGAACCCCATAATCATGGAAGCAAAATGCTATTGAAATTTATGAAGAAAGGGGTGATTAAGATGATAAATTAGCAAGCAAAGCTAACAGAGTAGATCCCAGAGATATAAACAAATGTTAACAGCTGAATATATCATTACAAAAAGCTATGATCATCCATTTAATTTAATCAGAATTAAAATCAACCACAATCCAAAAACCATAAATAGAACAGATAAAAGAACAGCTCACAAACAAGAGTACATATTCCTTATCCAAAAACAATTAACCAAATCATAAGATGGTAAATAAAAGAAACCTATGAGTGAAATTGCAAGAAAGTTAAAAAAAAGGAAAGAAATCTTACCTTAGGCCCACATCCCTTAATCACATATCCCCCAAGATTCTTCCATGGATTTATCACCTCCCAGATTTCTCAGGTTAAAAAGCTTTACAACGACCCAGAAAATAAATTACAGCAATGATTTTCAGCTGAAACAGACAAGTGGGTGGCTTTGTAACATCATTTAAAGAGCTTAGATCGTGTAGATATTGAAGAAGAAAAGGGGCTGAAGATTACGATCTACTGGGCCACTCTCTTGAACAAAGAAAGAACAGAATAAAAAAAGAATGTTTTTTTTCCTTTAAAGATCTAATTTTTATTTTTGATTCTATAGAGAGAAAACTGAGAAGAAGAGAGAAGGAAAAGTTGATTGTTTTGAGCAGGTGTTAGAGAGAGATGGGGATAAGAAATCTCCCCATACAATACAAACAAATGAACTTCTTCTAATAACAGTGACATGAATTTTGTCAAAATCAGTCACCTTTTATTCTCTGTTTTTTTTTGTATTATTTGTTTTTTTTAAATATTCATTATAATTCAACACGCACAAATCGAGTCTCATTAGTTAAAATATTCATTGTAATTCTTTAAAATCTAGGATTAGAACATTGTAAATATAAGGAATATGAATATTTATTGTTAAATAATTGAGAATATTTAAACAATTAATATCATATATTTACTCAAAATGTATGAAAAACAATAAAAATTAATTACAACACGGTTTTGGTAACTTCAACTCTATTAATTATTATTTAATTTAATGAGACGATACACTAAATTTTTTAAATAAGATTTAAATTTTGAATCATGATATTATAAATTCAAATTAATCATAATTATATATAAACAAAACTTAATCTCTAATTTCTCAAATGATAATCATGTATTTATATATAACATATATATATATAAGCCAACTAATCATGTGTCGGGTACCGACCTATGTTGCGATAAAAGCCAACTAATCATGTGTCGTCGTGGTATCAGGAAAAAATTCAGTATTTCAAGTTCATGCGTTCTCAATAAATGGACTAATTTCTAAGCTCTCGCAAGGTATCAGGATAGGATATTGAAAAGTTAAAATAAAAGGACCATGTTTTCAATTTAAAAAAATATAGGGATGAAATTTAAATTAAACAATTTTAAATGCCTTGAAAATGCTTATTAATTAGTATATCATTTAGTTATCTCCAAATCCAAAGGGAAAATAGTGAAGTTAATTAGCGTTGAACCAAAAGGGAAAGTAGTAAATTAATCAAGAATTAATTACAATGTAGATTCTGTTTTAATTGGCTAAAACATAGCATACAACTAAGTGGGCCCCCTGATTCTGTCTGAAAATCTAACTGCGTGAAAGGATGAGGTTTAGGAAGAAAGTTACTCTGATAAATGCCCTTCAGAATATGGCGTAATTACAATATTACCTTCCTTTTAAAGCATTTATGTAATTGGTGTCTGTATAATTTTGATAGGGTAAACTATAACATTAGTCACCAAGCTTTAGATGTCGTCTCGTTTTAATCACTAAATTATAAAAAAGCTCCAATTGTTCCACTAAATTTATTGAATTGAACTTTTGGTCTTTGCTTGTTAAATGATTGATGGGTGATGACATGGTCTTCATCTTCAATAGTTTTGTTTTTGGCAATAACCTTAAGTTCATCGATTGTTGTTAGCACCAGCTGGAAATTAATAAAATAATTAAAAGGTTAATCGAACAACCGTGTCGTGGTATAGACCACTGCCTTAGAAACGAATTTCACCTCGATGTATATAATCGTTGTCCCCCGAGATTAGCACGATTCTCTGAAAAACCGTACACCCAAATTTCAGGGTGGACAGTAGTGGAATTGCTCTTCTCACAGAAAAAATAAGAAAGCTTTGAGAGACTTTTTAGAAAGAAGAAATGATGTTTGATTCTTAGATGATTTGAAAATGAGAAAAACCGTCTCTATTTATAAGCTGAATGAAGGGTAAAATCATAACAAAAATCATTCATAAACACTTATTTATTTCCGTATTAATCACGTAATTAATTATGTAATTCCCATGTTAATAGTTGGCTGAACCTAGACACAAAACAATTCAGTTTCGTGCCCAAAAAATAGCTATTAAACTAGCTGAAATTAAACTCAGTTTTCTAATTAATATGTTGTCTACAGGAGCCGAGCCGAGCCGGACAGTGGCAGCAGCGATGCACGTACAAAGAAGTATCTTAGTCACATTCAACAAGATCAGGAGAATGAGTCTCTTTAAATACCTTTCATAAGGGATGTTTCCTCCCAGCGTAGGATAAATGTCCTTAAACAAAATTAACTGAAGTTATATCGAAATGGAAGTAAAACATGTGGCTTAAAATAAATTTAAAGCAAAAGAAGAATCGAAAGCATTGAGGAATTAAATTATAAAAAAATTAATTAAAGCTATATGGGTATTATTGGAATTGAATTATTTTAGAAGCTGTTTTAAAGATATCGTGTATATACATTTTTTGTGATTACCCTTTAATCTTAATTGTGGTCCCCAGTAGATACATACTTTTGCAATTGTCATTTTCATGGAAAATGCGTGAAGCTTTCTAAAGTGTTTAAGTAGGAGTGGTGGTGGGAAGATTTTACCTAAATATATGTTTAGGGTCCCACCATGACTTTTTTAACTATGGTGAATATATATATATATATATATTAGAATAATCACCAATATTCAATTTCTTCTTTGATTTTGTTTAAGCGACGACATTAGTTTTGGTCTTGGTTATCGACTGTCGGTTGTCTTTTTTTTTATAGTTTTTAATAAGAAAAATTTTATTTTTGTGACATGTTTATTAATGTTTTTATGACACGTTTATTTCTGTCTCCGTAACACATTTTCCTCTATTTTTTTATAGTTTTCGATTTTTCAACCATTGTTTTCATTTATATTTTTTCTCAGAGCTGGATTTGATATCACCATTAAGATGTCACTTATTTGTTATCATGCTGATATTCTCTGCTTTGGACCCTTAGATTGATTTGGATAGTGTTTTGTGCTCGTAGATAATTTTCTCATGTCGCTTGAATCTGATTTGCGATTTGTCGGTATTCTTTAGATAGTTTCATCCTTTTTTTTAGTTCGTTTTTCGATGCAGTCAAATTTGTTTGTATCTTTTTTTATTCGAGTATTGGGTAGGTTTTTTAACATTTTTTTGATCCTTATGCGATATAGGTGACTAGTTTTTGTGTCATGGTTATAGGAAAATGTCCTAATTATAATTTAATTTACATTTACAGTTATACTTATAAATCTTCATTATAATTCTGAATATTTTTTTTTTTTAATAAAACTAGTGTTTTTTTATAAAAAATATAATTAATTAATTTGAATTAAATATTATAATAACACATATAATTCATTAACTCCATAAACTTCAGTGAAAATAATGATATCTTAACCTAAGTTGGATTACTTTCATTATTGCATGTATATATTATAGTAATGCTAAGTGTGGTATAATGATATCATAATTTGGGTGGAGTAGTATTTTAATAATTGCATAGATAGATATAGATATTACTTATTTAACTTAAAAAATACTTTTTTAACATTTAAAATTAGATTAATGAATGAACCATCAATAGGTCTTAATTGTATTTTCTTTAAAGATTTTAGATTCGAATAATTATATCTATAGAGTATATATATTATTAAATGATTACAAAATATAATTCTTAAAAGGTTTAAGAAATATATATATATATATATTTAAAAAATTCAAATCCCAATTTAATTTTCTATAGAGATGATGTGACATTTTAGTACATGGGGAAAATGTAACAGTTGAGACAAGAGGGGAAGTGGTACTGGGTGGGTTGGTCAGTTTCAAATTCAGTATTGGGCACTCATATCTGGCCTTATTCCTATCTTGTAATCTTGCCTAAAATAACTCTTTCATATTCGCTTCTTCACAGCCTGCATTTAAGAATGCAGCGTAAAGATAATGTCATTTTTTCATGCACAAAAGTGGGTAATTTTGACCCAATACCGTAAACTGATTAATTATTTAGTCCAATATAGTATTAAATATTTTATTTCGAAAACTACGTCATTTATTTCAGTAACTTGGGACTCGTCATATAGGCATGACGAGTTCTAATTAAATTCATTTTTATTAGAACTTGTTACGTACAACGAGTTTATCAAGTATTGTGATATTTGTTGCATATCCCAAATTAATTTTGGAGATGGTCGGGCTAAATTTTTCACCCGCGCATGGCTTATTAAGTCAACTTTACCCAAAAATGCAAAGAAGATCAGTTGATTGAAATTTGTTTACTGGATATAGCCCAATTGATATATATGGGCTCATCAAAAGGTTCAATTTGAAGTAAGGTAAGACTTTTAGATGTCAACATTTGGAATATATGCATCCATACCTTAGAATTTACCAGTTGATTCAATATAATGAGCTGCCATTGGAACTTTTAAATATCTAAGGTGCCTCACTGACTGTTAAGGTTACCCTTTCAATTGCGTCTGTTTATAGCGATTGTTTTTAGTTGGATTTACATATTTTTCAAAACTCTGCTACAACGATGGTTGTCGTAGTCAACTTTTGAGCTGGAAATTGAATAAAACCTGATCCCACCACGTGTGGCTTTTGTCATCTTTTGATCATAACACCATCATATTATAATATTAGTAGCATAATTATTAAGGATCTTGCTCATAGAAAAAGGATTGAATTTGGAAAACTTTTACCACCATCTTTCCATCAATCACATTGTCATCTTTGTTCATTTTCCTTTCCAGTTTTCTAACTTTTGGGCTGCTGAGAAAGTGACTGGAGTAGTCACATTGAAGACTGTGACCCACTAGAGTTAATCTGTAAGCCATCTCCTAGCAATGGAGCCAAATAAGCATTGAAACGAGAGATTTTCAAGTTCATTTGAAAATGGGATAGTTAATTGGAAATTAAAATAAAAATTTTCAAATAGCCGAAAATCCGGGAAAAAGACAACAGATTAGCACCGTCACCGTCACCGTCACCGTGCAAATTACATGAACACCCTTCACAAGAAGATAAATGCTCGAGAATCCCAACTTTCAAAAGACAGCCGCTTTTTTGTTCCTTCTCCTTGAATGCACAGCTGGCATACAAGGATATTTGTCTGTAGCTTTTGGGATTTGTTCTTCCATCTCTGCCTTTCTTCTTCTTCTTCTTTTTCTTAACTTGCTGAATAAAAAAGGGTAAAGCTTTACTCTTTTAGTGAGGGAGGAGGAGGAAATGGAGAAAGCATTAACAAAAGTTGGGAGCTTGAAAGTTGGTGGGTTATGGATCTCAAAGAAAGCCAAGGAAGAGTTCTCTAACATTACTGAAGATCTGGTTGTAAGTAAAGCTTTCTTTTTTGTTTTGTGGGGTGGGGGTTTGCTTTTTCTTGGTGTTGGTGGTTCTTTGAGTTCATGGATTGTGTAATGTGGATTGCTGGACAATGCAAGATCTGTGGGTTTTTACTTTTAAATGTAAAAAAAGACTTGTTTTCAGAACATATTTCTGAGATATTGTTGAATGAGATGAAAATGTGAAACTTGGGTTGCATTTTTGTGATCAGATTTAAGTGTAGGACATGCAAAGATTGCATTTTTGTCTTGATCTATTCTACTGTTTCAAAATTTCCCTTAATTTTGTTTTTGACATGTGGAATCATTTCAAGCTGATTAAAGAGTTTTAGGACAAAGTTTGATTCAACAATGGATGATTTAAAGTATTGTCCTTTGCTTCTATTGCTGTAATTATCAAGTACCAAAAGGGCTTCTGAGATCTGATGTTAAAGTTGATGCTCCTGAAATGTTATTTGCTGCAGACTTTCTCGAGCACGGTTGAAGAGAAGGCGAAATGGGTTTTCAATAAGCTGAAAGGTACATAATTTTATAGGCTTAGCCGTGTTTGCTTGTACTAGTTAGTGTCCTGAAGCATAGGCTATAGTTCTTCGGTTAAGAAGAGAGGCCGATTGTAGTCTTCAAACGTGTTACAATGCCTAATTGCGATGCCTACCCTGGTTCGTGAAACAAGATTCTGAGCACGAGTCTTTCCCTCCCATTAAACCATTACATTATGTTTGACGGTTAATAAGAGCTGACGATTGTCGTCTGGTTGTCTTCAAATGCTTTGCAATGCTTAATTGCGAGGCCTACCTTAGTTCATGGAAGAAGATTACGAGCACCAATCATTCCCTCCCATTCAACCATTACATTATGGTTGACCATCCTGCTTGAATGAAGCAATGCATCCTCATTCCTGTGATGTTCGATCTGTGGCTAAAATCCTCCTCTGTCATTCTTCAGCTTCTTGTCCTTCGGTTTCGAAAGAAAATTTTCTGGATGGTCTTTGTTTTGCATGATGCGTTATTGATTGAATCTTTCTTTCAAAAGTAAATTCATGAACGAGTTGATTCTGCTTGGTTCTGCAAGTTCCTTACCTGTATGTTTGTTATGTGCTTCCTACAGGAAAGCCATTGAAAAGCTTGCCGGATCTCCTCCGAGAGTACAACTTACCGCCAGGCCTCTTTCCCCAGAACGTCATCTGTTACGAATTCGATGAAACCAAGGCCAAGCTTGATGTGTACTTGTCCTCTCCATGTGAGGTAAGCTTCAAGGATTCCTCGGTTATAAGGTACGCGACGCGTGTGAAAGCTATTCTACTTAGGGGAAAGCTCACAGGCATCGAGGGAATGAAGACAAAGGTCCTAGTTTGGGTTAAAGTCACTAGTGTGGCAGTCGAAGGCTATAAATCCGACAAGGTGTGGTTCACTGCCGGAGTTAAGAAGTCGAGGCCTAGGGATGCCTACGAAGCACCCCGGGATGCCGTCAGAGTTGAAGAATTTTGAGCACATGATATTCATCGCTGCTTATCTCTTTTGGGGGGTTTAGCGCATAGCTACTTCTATATGTATATATATATATATTATTGGGTTAAGATTACTGCTTATTTCAAGTTCAAGGACTCCGTTTTCATTTTGATTGAAATGAGACCAATTCCATTCATCTAGTCGCTTTACTTTAACTGATAACCTGATAAACGAAGACTAATCATCAAATCTCAACATGGTAGAGGGATCAAAATCACAATTTCATATCCTTTGAATGACAAATTGGGCACAATTTGAAGCCTTGAAATGTTGGTTATCTTCGGATTTATTCCATTACGGTCGTTACCTAAAACGAAGTTCAATCTCATCTCCCCTACAAGATGACATTGGACTAGGACTCATGCAGGAACAAGGACCAACAGAACATGACAAGGATGGGAAATTACATTAAAATAGTTTAAGAAAGGCAAAGTCATAAATAAAACTTTAATATTATGGGTGTTCTATTTAGATTAAGCTTCACATTCAGTGTTTAGGGTAAACTACATTAATGATCACTAAATTACTTGTGATTTAGTTATTAAAATGAAAAAAAAATTAATTTCAGTCATTGTGGTGCTTTCACATAACAACTCTGAAGGAGAAATTAGGATGGCTGACAGCTTCTTATGAAGGATTTGTCAATTGCGATAGCGACTGGTCTTGACCACCTTGGAGAAATTAGGATGGACAGCCGAATTTTTTATGAGTTTTTTTATTAGTATAAGCGAAGTGCAAGACAATATTATTTAGAAGTTGTTCTCAACCTTTTAATATTGAACGCTCATACCTTGGTGTTTATAGTGTTCGAATCCGAGTCATCAAAGAATGACAACAATTCCTTTAACACGGAGGCCCCTTGATTTGTATAAATGACCAACCATTTTGTAAAGGAAGAAACAAGCTCGAAAATCATTTTTCAAATCCACATTCCCTCTTAATTTCTACCCAGCAGCGCGAATCAAATTATCTCAATGATTAAAAGAATAGATGTTATTTCTAGACGTTTTAGGTTCGAGAACCAACGACTGCAACATAGATAACTAAGCGTTCATTATCAAATGGTGGAGAATATTTAGACATATATTACTTTATAATCGCATTAACTTAATAGAAAAAGATAAAAAGACATTAGAGATCACTGTATTTTTAAAAAAAGACCCAATGTGGCCCCGTATTATTTTTCTCTCTTAATGTGACCCTCAAACTTAGAAAATAATCCCAATGTGATCATTTGATCAACGTTTTTCATCGTTTGATCGTTACAGTACTGACGTGACGATCCATGATGTAGACGTGATAGTCTATGGTGGTTGATAAAATGCAGATAACATGGTAGATCGACTAAAGTGGTAATTCAAACATGACAGATGAATTGCCACATCAATACTGTGAACTGCTACAACAACATTGTAACGATCAAACGATGAAAAACGCTGATCAAAGGGTTATATTAAATTTATTTTCTGAGTTAAAAGAATATGTTAAGAGAAAAATAATATGAAAAATAATACGAGACTCTAATTGATTTTTTTTCAAGTAAAAAAATCTATGATGCTTCTCGCCTAAAAAACCACTACCCACTATAAAAACAAGTATGCAGGCGCTGTGAAGGTAACGACCACCCCCAAAAGAATGGATTTGAGATATTGTGCTCCTCCTCTGGTAAATATGATCTTTTTTGTGTCCAACTCCAACCCTAGTATATTTCCCCACCAAATTTCAATGTGGGAGCTCACATTTTTGTTTATGACCCTCTTCTTTCTCTTTCTCTTACTCTTCCTCTTCACCTCAGCTGACCTCCCTCTCAACGCCAATCCCATTCTCTTTCGCCCCGGAAATTTCTCCATTGCAGTAGCTCTATCGCTACTCGCCTCGCTCGTTCTCTCGCCTTCCATGTTCTGGTATTTTCATTTCTTCATCATCGTCTCGTGTCCCTGCCATGGACTGTTGTTTGATCTGTTTAACGCTTCTCTTGCTGGTTTCAGGCCTTCCTTGGGTTACTTCCCACTTATTCCATTAGGATCTTCTCTCGTCCGCTTCAACTGGACATTGAAGTTGGACTCATGCATGAACAATAACCAACAGCAAAGTGATGATGTACGCAGGCATGCAATTATAGTTACTAATTTAACTGTTTCTGTCTAATAAAGAGGGCTTACGTTGTTACAAGCTTAGAATTTTTTTTTTTGTAATTGTAAGTTATGCGAGTAAAGGTTAGTTTGTTAGAGGTAGTCATGTAATTTGTTTGTGTGTAATTCTGTATATATTAGCTGTATGTACAGTTAGTTTACAGAGATGAATTATTCAATATTATTCTTTCAAGTGCCTAGTTATATATGGTGTTTGAATCTAAAACCTCAAAAAATAACAATAATTCTACAACCATTGAGATCGATTGATATGCATATTACGGTGTCATATGCCAAATTTAATAATCTTTTTGGACCTAAATAACTTCCTAAAGCTTTAGTCGTCTAATCTTTTGTATTCTAGTTGTACTTGTGTTCGGTCATGGCTCCAATTTTACGAAGAAACTTAATGTGTAGTCAGATCAACCCTTTATCTATTTGGTGCCAATTTGCTAGGGATACAACCCGACTTCGAGAAGATCTCCTTTGTTGGTCAATCATTTATCTATTGAGGAAGGGGTTCCAAAGAGGGAGTCGTTAGCTGTAGGAGAGATCTTGGATCAGCATTGAGTCTTGCTTTAACTTTGATTTCTGGTTTTTCAAGCGGAATTATGGTCGGGTTTTATTTTAGGCATGGTGGTTCTGATAATTTTAAGTTTGAAGTTCAGTCGGTGTTAAGTCAGAGCACATTGGATGTAGTTTGATTGAAAATTGATTGTTTTGTCTTTTGGTGTGTTGGGCAACCTAGAATTCGCAGCCATTTTATATAACACAACAATTATTTTAGTCTTCAGGAAACGACCGGGGACTCTTGTTTCTTGCTGGTTTTGTGTTCATTCCAACCAGAGTAACATGTCACGTGACTAGGAAAACATAAACATTTTACTTTGTCTCTTAACCCTGACAACAACTGAGCCATTGGTGAAACCTATAACCTCTGACCTCAGAAGGAAACTGCGCTTCGAAACACACCTTCTTTCCACTATTAAAACAGAACAGCGGAGCGGTTGCTTTCAACTTCAAGGCAACAACAGTCCAAAATGGATTTGAGATTCTGTCTTACTCCTCTCCTGAATTTGATAGTGTTTGCGTTCTTATTCCCCTTGAACCCCAACCTCAATGCTTCCTCAATCTTTGTCCGACAGGCATCAGTGTTGGAGCTGCCGTTTTTGCTTCGTGCCCTCTTCTGTCTGTCACTCTTCTCTCATCTCCGCGGACCTTCCTCTAAACCACAACCCCATCAGTTTCCGTCCCGGGGATTTCTCCATCGCGGTAACTTTATCGCTTGTAGCTTCGCTCTTCTCCCCGTCTTCGGTGTTCTGGCCTCTTCATTTGTTTATCATCGTCTCCAGTCCATGTCACGGACTGTTTCTAGATCTATTTAAACAGTTTTGCCGTTGGTTTCATGCCTTCCTTCGGTTACTTCCGACTTATTCCGTTAGGATCTTCGCTCGCAACGACGGAAATTTGAACTCGCCTCCTCTTCAGGTCGACATTAAAATCGGACGTATACAAGAACATGATTAGTGCTATATATGCTTGCCGAGAAGCGGGTAGCGTGGTTGAAGTTTAGTGGGAGTGTTGTACTTTAAATTTTCTATGCTGCAATCTAAGTTTAGATTTTTCTTTCTCAAAATTCAATGTGCAATGGACGTTCTAACTAAGACTTAGAATGAATGTTTTATGGTAAAATACTAAAATTTACACTAACTTTTTTTTGTTATTGTTTTTTCTTTGAAAACACTATGATCTTTGAAAAAAATCTCTTAATTAAAAGAAAATCGTGAATTAATTAACTATTGATTATTATTGCTGATATTACAAGTTATATATGATCGAAGTAATAATATGACAAGTCATATTCGTTTAAAGTAGTGACATGACATGTTTCATATCATTATTTATGTACTTATAACATGTGTCACGCTATTATTTTTATACATATAATATATATCACATCATCACTTATGTACACATATTATCACATCTTAATTTATGCACACATAATATGTATTATGCTATCATTTTAAACATATATTTACACACGTAATATATATTATCATTTTAAACATGTAGCACGTGTTTAGTTACTACTTTACTTGCTTCTGTGTAGTAAAGAGAGCTTCCATTAGGTAATGGAAATTACCAAAGCTGATTATGAAGTAAACCAAAGACGCATCGCCATGGTTGTCGGGCTACATGTCGGACGATGGTGGCTGCCTCTTTTGTTTGAATATATATACATAGCAATGATTTTTTTATGCAGAGTTAATTATAAAATATTAAATGTTTGAAATTTTTTAAATTGTTTAGTAATAAATGTTTAAATATTATTATAAATGTCATGTTTAAACTCGAAATTTCTAATAATAATAATTATTCTTTAATTATTGAGGTTATTTAATTCGTGTATAAAAATATTTGTATAATATATATTATATCAAGAGAATAAAAAAAATAAAAGAAAAGTGAAATCAAATTACATTAATCACACGTTTTGTAATCCTAATTTCAAGTCTATAAAACCACCGACCGACCAACTAATCTTGACCTCCTCTTTTTAAGCCAACAACAACGCCAGCTCTATCATCAAGATTAGCGAGTTAAATGGGGTATGATATTATCGATGATATTAAAATTCTTCCCATTTATTTATAATTTTTCATTTAAAATTTTACATATAAATTAATTTTTATTATTTACTTGTAATTATTCATAAAAATAAATTTTATTAAAATATCAGTATAATTTTTTAATCAAACCAAGTTTGTTTACAAAGGTAGAGCTTTTAACTTCCATTAAAGCTTGCAGTTTGCACCTCTGACTCAATGGCAGAACCGTGGTTTCAAAAGTCGTCGGGGAGACAAAAGTAAGTTCACTTGTGCAAATCGGCCATAATGGGTTGGCGCTATTACAGTTCCAGTCCCAGAAGAAACAAAGGCAGAAGAGCTCCAAAGGAAAAAGCAAAAAGCAAAGCTTTTTAAGTGAATTTCTTGTGCAAATCGGCGTTGACTTTCTGAATCACTGAATTTCTTGTCTCAGATCCATTTTCCGATACCAAAAGTGAAACTTTGAAGCACATAACCCAATTAAAGACGAGACTTTTTTTTGTCGTTTTTAATGGATAAAAGTCAGGAGCAGAAGCCATCAGCTCAGCCGTCGAAAGCGGTGGTGGCGGCGGCTTCACGGCCCATTATTACTCCCCCACCTCGTCCTTTCACGGAGGCGTCGTTCAATGGTGGAGCAGGCATGATGGGGTTTAGTCCGGGTCCCATGACTCTTGTTTCCAACTTCTTCTCCGAATCCGACGAGTTCAAGTCGTTTTCTCAGTTGCTTGCCGGTGCCATGGCTTCGCCGGCTGCTGGGAAAAGACCCAACTTTCCTCCTGTTACTACCACCGAAGGGAAGGGTGGCGTCGCCGGCTCCGGTGGAGGTGACGATACAGGACTACGGTTCAGGCAGAATAAACCGGCTGGTTTGGTGATAGCTCAACCGCCGGTGCCGACAGGGCTGAGCCCGGCGAGCTTGTTGGAGTCTCCTGGCTTTAGTGTGTTTTCACCTGGTCCCCAGGTAATTTTTCAAAGCTCAATTTGTTAATTCCAGTTAAGTGGAAGTAAAGAACTTAAGATTTTAGCATCTGTTGGTGTTTCTCATAAGGCAATGTCGGATTTGTAATCTGTTCAGCTTGCGCATCGCATTGGAAGATTGATTGATCAATAAGGTTACCGTAAAAAAGAAAACCCTTTTCAGAATCGAACTCGAAGCTTATAATCCATGGCGGTATGCATCATAAAAATTAACCGATTTCCCCTGTATATGAACCATACAGGGACCTTTCAGAATGACGCACCAGCAGGCGCTAACGCAGGTCACCGTGCAGGCACATTCGTTGGCACCTGCTGCAACTTCGGCATCGGTTGCCAGTGTGACAATGAACCAGCAGATGTCACACGATTCGACTTTTACTGTGAAAGAAACATCAGATGCATGTCAATCTGATCATGGATCCCAACCTGCTTCATTTGTCGTAGATAAGCCTGCTGATGATGAGTACAACTGGCGTAAGTACGGGCAGAAACAGGTCAAAGGGAGTGAGTTTCCGAGAAGTTACTATAAGTGCACGAATTCTGGTTGTCAGGTGAAGAAGAAGGTCGAGAGATCGATAGATGGCCAAGTGACTGAAATCATTTACAAAGGGCAGCATAACCATCAACCTCCGCCGTTAAATAAGCGTGGGAAAGATACCAGAAGCTTAAATGGACTTGCAGGTAACCAGGGGAATTCCGAATCAGCTAGCCAACTTCAGAGTGGCAACTCAAACATAGTGATGTATAAGGACCAAGAATCTAGCCAAGCTACTAGGACGAATGACAATGAGGAAGCTGTGAGAATGAAGTTGTAGATGAAAATGACGAAGACGAACCTGACCCCAAAAGACGGTGCGTAAAAAACTATATAATCCGTATTATATACTTGGTTCTGTCCTTGAGGGAATGATTTCTTCAACGAATTTTTTTCTTTATATGCAGAAGTACAGAAATCAGGTCAAGGATCCAGCTTCTTCACATCGGACTGTCACGGAACCTAGAATTATCGTGCAGACGACTAGCGAAGTTGATCTCTTGGATGACGGCTATAGGTGGCGAAAGTATGGACAGAAAGTTGTCAAAGGCAATCCTCATCCAAGGTAATGCCTCATGTTGAATGTTTTTGCTATTGCTTACTATGTATTTGTGATCTACAATTATTTTAACCATTGCTGATGCATCTTTTCGATTCTACAGAAGCTACTATAAATGTACAACCCCGGGGTGCAACGTCCGTAAGCATGTTGAGAGGGCCTCGACAGATCCCAAAGCTGTTATAACAACATACGAGGGAAAGCATAATCACGACGTACCAGCTGCCAAAACAAGGAGCCACGACACAGCCAATAGTAATGCTTCACATGCAAGAATGCAAAATTTACTGTCCGAGAGGCATAGTCGACAGCCCGTAGCACGTCTACGATTAAAAGAAGAGCAGATAACATAACACAACTATGGCAGGTAAAATCTGTCATGTTTTCCTAAGTTTCTTATTCACACTCACGGCTGATGTTTTAATGGAGGCCATCCACTCAACCGATATCAAATACAAAAGAAAAAAAAAGGGAAACATAAGAAAGAAGTCAGTTTGGAACAAACTCGTTATCGGGATCGAATCGAGGTGATGTTGTTGTTGCTTGTAAACTAGTACAGTGAGCATATTGTGTTTAGTTCTACCATTCCATGCATTCTTTTGTACATGGAAATACTGAATCAACGTTGTCTAACATGATTTCGAGCCAATAAGATCTCGAGAATTCTCGAGTTGCAGCCTGCTTTATGTTGTTTAGCATGTAAAATAAGAAAAAATATTAAAAAATGGCAGAACTGTTGGCTTTATAAGCAAGAAATCTTCCTGATGTCTGTTCATCAAATTGAACAGTCTTCTTGACTGGTTACAATGGTGGGAATTTGGCCATGATTTACAAAATCAATCTGATTCAAGCGTAAACAGCACAAAGCTTGCTCTGGGAGCTCCTCTGGTTTATTTGCCTGCCATTGTTTACCAACATGCAAAAGTGATCAAGTTCTTCGATTTTGATCGATTTGGTTTGGTTTGGTTAAAATAAAGTCGAAGAGAAGTTTACCTGAATGGTTAGACCCAGATTTACTATCCCGAACTGCATGCGGTCGATAAACAATTCAAGTCCTTTCCTAGATATGTAGCTAAACCTGTGTATATCTATATCGATCTCGAAGTAATTCTCCCCCTGGATGATGTATCGATGATTCGAGTGAGTGTCTGATACAGAAATGTTCGATATTTATAAACATTTTAGAATAGATTACCTGATAGAAACTGTGTTGAGGACGTGAAAGAACCGGTTTATCGTTATAAGCTTGAATCATCTTCTTTTCAGTATTACCAATTTGGAGGTCGTCAGGGTTAACTAACCCTGCCATAATCTTTAGCCTCTCTCTGAATGGAACAATGGACTCTTTGGCAAACCCTCTAACCCTTTCCATGTCATCGTCAATAAATTTCTGCAACGGAGTTTTTAGCTCGAGGATTCGATTAGAATGTTTTGAAGTTGGTAATTAAACCGAGGGGATCGATTACCTTTATGTTTTCTAGGAATTGAGGGGGTATATCTTCTTCAAAAGTATCCGACACCTTGAAATACAAGACAAGGCTCAAGCCTTCCCCGTCGGCATCGCCGACAAACACATTGGCAGGATAAGTTGGCACCTGCAAGAAGAAACACCGGAACGACGTAAGTGATCGAAATCGACAGAGGTTGTCGTGTGAGATAATGCAAAGAGACATGAGACCAAAGAGAGGAATAGTGACCTGTATATTAACAATCAAAAGTGGAGGCACTTTATCATGTGGTTTTACTTTTGGCAGCTCAAGGTGCTCTGCAATGTGGTTCATTTTTCTCGGGCAGACGAATAAATCGACCCCTATCGGAACATAGGGGCTATAATCCGGAGCGCGGGCCTTTTGTTTATCACTGCAAATGATATATGAGATATGAGGAGGCATTGGATTAAGAGTTGGTGTTGTATGAATAATAGGGAACTATAATGCCTTGCCTGAAGAAAGTAGGTCCACGAAGCTTAAAAACCGACGGTGAAACCACTGACCAGGTTCCTGGACTTCCCTTCTCTCCGGAGGGAAGGATTAGAGTTCCGGCTCGGGGACGGTATAAGTACTTATCAGTTCCACCTGTTGAACGTAGATTCGTTAGCTTTGTGATCGGGTTCATTGATAGAGCATTGTCGTCAACGAGTGAATTACCTACGAATATACTATGGCAATCATCGTCGAATTCGGACTCCATAATGCTAACCGAATCAAACCATTCTTCCCTTGGCATTTCCCTTTGGAAGAAATCTGACTGTGGTTATATTGTAGCTGTGTCACGAAATGACATGTTAGACATCTCGGTGGTCGGAGCGCCGTTCTCGTATTTGCTGACGGTGTGATCGGTGATTTCCGCATCACTCATGCTGTTACTAGATTATATCAACAGAAAATATAAATAAAATTCTAAAATATATAATAATTTAACCGCCTCCCCTTCCCTTGTGCTCCATGCATGCCTACCTGGATACATCGGGGATGGAGGGGGAATCTTGGCGGACATCCTTCTGCGCTTGCTCAATCCAAAGTGTCGCCTATGCGGCCTAGGTATGGTGGCCACTTGGCCGTACACGAGGCGCAGCCACCCATTTCTGTCGGACAATAAAGTGTTTGAGCAGCTCGACAAGATGATCACTGTCCAAACTTCGGAGAGAGAAAGGTTAAAATCCCGGCATGGACGAGGAATTTCGGGTTCCTTTCTCTCTCTCTTCTCTGTGCGTGTGTTGTGTCCCCCCGTCTTTGTCTGTTTATTATTAAACTCCGATCGGAGATCGAAAACAATGGGGAAGATGGAAGGGATTATGGAGACGGGAGTGTCTCCGGTATAGGCGGATCCTTGATTTGAACAAACTCCCGTTTTAAATCCCCTCCCTCTGTTTCTCTTCCCCCCACATTCTGTTTTCTGTTTCGTTGTCAATCCATTTGCTCTCTGTTTTTTCTCCTCTTTACTATTTTTGCCGTCTTTCTTCCTATTTTTTGTTTGATATTTCGCGGGCTTTTACCGTTCTTGTCTTAGCTTACGTGGCCTTGTCGTTGATTATTAGACTTACGATGAGGATTAAATTAAATGATAAAATATACAAATGATCTTCGGATTATAAGATAATGAGTCCATTGATTATTAAAAGTTATAAAATGATCTCTTAATTATTTTATTGAGTCCGTCGACTATTAAAAGTTACAAAATGGTCATTTGATTATTCATTATATTCCAAACTTGTTCTTTCATGTTAAAAGATTAAAGACCATCTGAGTTGAACGTTAACATCCTGATTGAGATATGATAGTCGTTTGATGAAATTAGATTTTATCATATCTCAGTCAGCAAGTTAACGTACAACTCAGATTGTTGTAAAAAATTTAACAAAAAATGATGAGTTTAGATAATAATTGGAATTAGTTGAGCCATAAAGGCTAATAGGGCTTCAGTTTTAGATGTTCAATTTTGTCTTCAAGTGAAGTATTTGCTTTTAGCACTCAACTTTCCTGTTAGTTCAATTTTTGAATTATTAACAATGAGATGATGTAGTTGGTTGATATAAACGTGTGCGAACATGAAATTTTAACTTACCAAAAAAAGTAACCGTACAAAGTAAAGAAAAAAGTAGGGTCTTGAAGGTAAAAAAGAGAGTAAAAAACCAATCTTTCTCATGTTTGTGGGTTGTGAGACAGGTCTTATGGCCAAGCAAAGAGCTTTACAAAAGACAGATCGTATGCTGCATTTGTTTGCTTGGGTGGTCTAGTTTAGCTATTGAAACCCAGCAGAATTTGAACTTCATCTCTTTGTTGTTTTAAATTCTGTGTAATTTTCAAAGTTTTCACTTTTTTTTAACCTGTATCTGTAAAAGGTGGTGGCTGTTGCAGTGTTCTTGGCCCTTGGATTTGCTTTCTATGTGTTCTTCCCCATGAAGCTTGGAACGGATGGTATCCTAGCCAGTACATCATCCACCCTCCTTGACAGGCCACCAGAATCCTCCCAAAGACAATAAATGGAAGCATTCAAGGCCAGCTTAAGTAAGATAACAACAATCAATTTTCCCTTGAAGCGAGAGGTCGCCCAATTCATCACAAGGTCCCAAGTGGGAACCAAACTCTCCAACCTGCAGAGACGCATAACAAGCTCCCAAAATTTTGCAGAGAAGAACAAACAAAGAAAAATGGCTCATTGATTCCTCCTCCAAACCGCAAAGGACACTGTAAATCAACCACCAGCCCCATCTTTTGTAGACGATCCTTAGTTGACAATCTGTTACGCATCGTGAGCCACACAATCACAGTGTGCTTGAGAATATGCAAAGGGAACCAAACAAGTTTGTCAAAGAACTTTATCCTCCTTTCTCCTAATTTCAAGCAAAAATCCCTTGCTCTCGTCGCATTAGCAGCGGGACTCATCACCTGAAACTCCCCTCTAAGCGAAAGGATTTCCCTAAGGTCCAGCTCAAGGAACTCTTTATTTCAAAGGACCATAAATCAGAATTTTTGAGACCTGTTATATCATAATTTACATGAAGAAGTTTACAGTATGTGCTGATTAAGTTAGGGACTTAGGGTTATTTCAAAGGGTACTGATGGATCTTCATTTGTTGGTTGGTCAATGATTCTGCTAATGCTTCTTTTGTTCGCCTGTGATTTTTGTGGCTCAACAATTGCATCGGTCAGAGGAACTACCGGCAAATTTTCACCCTCATGGTTTCTGTTCTTCTATTGGTAAGTAATTCACTATTCATCTTCGTCGTTTGTATCAGATTAGAATCATCATATTACATGATTTGTCCACCTTGGACCTGACGTTGCAGCATATTCTACACTGGTCGACTGGAATCCTTGTACTTCATCGAAGCAGTTTGGTACCTCTGCACCTGGAAGCACGAAGCGCTTTCTAGACAGATGACAATGGCTGTAAGGGGCGAAACTGATTTAGGTCGAGACAAGGCTAGCAACCGGTGTATCATTGAAGACTCGATCGTTTGGGACTTGAATTTGGGGTGACAAGAAGGAAGAAGAAAAAGGTTTTCGACATGTACTTGCTGTAATACTCCATTGTACTTCAGTACTGAACATTCCTAAGCTTCTGGTAAAAACAAAAGTGCAGATGTTTCACCATATGTGATTCAACTAACAAGATAAATTGTTTTCAAATGCAAAGAGAATCATCATTAATAAACTCAAAAACTTGCATTTTTATTAGTTCTTACAAATCTGAAGCATCTCTTATTACAATTCACACGTTTTCATACATAACAACAACAACAGAACATAAACGAACCTAAAAAAATCCGCTGTTTTTCATCAAAACTTAAACGATCGAGACAACATGAGGAACTTTGCCATCGTCAGCAAAAGGCAAACTGGCATAATCTCCTGCAAATTCTTCAGCCTTGGAATATGCATAAAAAACTGTATATGCAGCCAAATTATAAATCAGAATCAACATGTAGAATGAGGTAGTGCCGACAATATTCCAAATAAAGTCCCAACTTTTCCAATATTCATCACTAGCTGAATCACCCGATTGCATAATTGAGCGCAACACATTGATCGAACTGCATAAGCCGAAAAAAAGCAAAATCTTCAAAGCAACCCCTTTGATTCCTTTAACTAAAATTCGACTTCGTTTTAGAGGTTCAAGTCCCCAGCTTGATTCAACCACGACGATAACAAAAGCAAATATCCAATTCACTTGTAAATAAAACAAAACAGACGTGAAAATGATCATACAAGCAAAAGCAAGGATAATCACATAAGACGGTGAGTAAATGACTTGGAAGCCTAAAACTTGGATCGCCATGAATAATGCAAAAAAGACTAAACCAAGAATTAAACCGATCCCAGAAATGATAAGAGATTGTACAAATGAAGTTGAGAGGAGAGGGAAGAAGGAAGTGAAAGCTGCTTTAATGGCGGATGAAGGCTTGACGGGTTGACCATGAAAGCCATGGAAAACGCTGTATGTGATGGAACCAAAGGAGAAGTTGGAGAAGACGGAGATTATGAGGGAGTAAACGAGGTTGAGGATGAAGGGTTTGATGGATGGATTTTGTTGAAGGGAGCTGAGGTGGGATTCGATGGTGGGATAGAAGAGTTTAGCTATGAAGGGGTACAGGGATAATAAGAAAGAGGAAGGGAGGAGGAAGAGGAGTAATAGAGCTTGTAAGTTCCGGGGTTGCGCCCTAAGTATGCGGTTGGATTCAGATAGGATGGTCCAGAGGCCGATCTTTGACGGAGGAGACGGTGGCGCTGCCATGGAGGAAGACGGAGGAGATGGTTGTGGCAAAGCCATTGAGATGCTTTTGTTTTTATAACGCGTCGGCATGGAAAAATTGGCTTTGAGAAAAAGTCCAGCGTAGGAGAAAAGTCGGCATACGCCATTACTATGTACGGGTCAACTTAAACAATACATAGAAGGTGTAATTCTGCTACAAGCCCCTTTACTCTTTACATATTTGAAATTTGTCCCTACACTTTTAACTTTGGAAAATTTTAATTTAATCTGAACCTCAATATATACCTAGAATAAATATTATTTTAATAAATAAATAATAAAAAATAGAAAAAAGGACAGATTGATATTGGTTAATACCGTTATGCGCAAGGAAACTTCAATTCAATTTCATTAATAAATGCTGAATAAAATTTTAAATTTCAAGGTGTGAGCCAATTTCCTTATTTTCTTGAGCATTAATTTCATTAACAAGAATTTTCTCACTAAAAAACACAGCAATAAAAGAGAAGTTTCCTGCATAGCTTCACTTGTTCTTACAAGAAAAACTATAGTCAAAGGGGAAGTCGGTGTTCCTTATATTGCCAATCCCTCTTCTTGACATTGGCTCCTACATTTGTAAGAAAGTTCAGAAATATTTTTTAGGGCAAGTACATATAAGTTAGTAATACAAAATTTTTAAATGGGTAGACACAATTAAAATTTTAAGATAAATATAAATAAAATTTTAAGATGAAATAAAAAAATAGCTGAAAAATTTTAAATTTTAAAGTAGGTACGGTACGTGCCCACCTTTAAGGTTGCGTTTGGTTCTCTAGAATGTTTCTGAGGGAATTGGAATCTGTGAAGGAATTGGAATCTGTCAGGAATTGGAATCCAATTCCATATCTTGTTTGGTTGGCAGGAAATGAAATTGGAATCCAATTCTATATTCTGTTTGGTTCGCAGACATGTCAGATGAATTTGATTTCAGTAATGTAAAATGACATAATTGCCCTTCTTATTTTTTTTTGCTTTATTTTAGTTTGTTTTACAACTTACATGTAGTAATTTATTATAAAAAATTAAAAAATATTAAATTTTCATTTTATTAATTGATTATTCATTTCAATAAGTTATAAAAATCATGTTAATAAACATCATAAGTTAAAATCATCGCATTCAAAATATGTTAATAAGTTACCAAAAGATAGAGTAATATTTCGATACATTCCAATAGGAGTATGTTAATTAGTTACCAAAAACTATTTTTATTCAATATATGAATTAGAAACCCGACCCGACACGACACGAAATAATAAAAAAATATTTTTATTCAATAAAAACATTGACTTAATTGAAAAAAATTATATATAGAGGGGTATTATTGTAATTATTCCTAAATATATAAGGTAAAATAATATATTTTTTTTCGGGTCGGGTCCGATTTTTTTCACCCTAAACCCGACCGACCCGAATATCACACTTAAAAAACCAGACCCGACCCGAACAAAATAAAGTTTCACCCGACCCGAATATATGAAATAGAAATCCGACCCGACCCGACCCGAAATAAAAAAAAATTATTTTTATTCAATAAAAACAGTGACTTAATTGAAAAAAATTATATATAGAGGGGTATTACTGTAATTATTCTTAATTATATAAGGTAAAATTATATATATTTTCAGGTCTAGTATTTTTCACCCTAAACCCGAACTCGATCGACCCGAATATCACACTTAAAAAAACCAACCCGACCAAAATAAAGTTTCACCCGACCCGACCCGACCCGAATATATGAATTAGAAACCTGACCCGACCCGAAATAATAAAAAAAATTATTCAATATATGAATAAGTTACTAAAAAATTGATGAGGGTAGTATGGTGAAATTTCAATTCCTCCAACAAGGAATTGAATTCCATCTATTCTTGGATGAAATTCACTTTCTCTCATTTGATGGAAAGTTGAAGCCATGAGGGGTTCCAATTTCCTTAGAAAACTTGAACCAAACATGAAAAAAATAGTGGAATTAGATTTCAATTCCCCCCAATTTCAAGGGATTCATGCCAACCAAACGCCACCTAACTTTACGCCACCAAACATTTGAATTTATCAACCGAGATGACTTTCTGCTAATGTATAATAAAAAGTTAAAATCTATATCTGTTGATGATGGTTTATTATTTTAACATATATATATATATCAATTGATTTACAGATCTTATCATAAAATTTTTCACTTTAATTTATTATTCAACTTATTTAATTATTGAACATGATTTTGTAAATCAAGCGATCTTATTTGTTAAAAGATAACTATTATCTTTTTAAGAACTTGAGTTCAAGCATTATTAAATATTCACCGTCAAATAGTTAAAAATCTAATGTGACCGTAATGATATAAATTTATGCCTACTGAGTTTTTTCTTCTTCTTTTCAATGGGTAATGAAGGCAAAGCCTTTACAACTTATGAGGCACCCCTAAGAAAGCCATTTATATCTCGTTGCAAGACATCCTGAGGGAAGATCGGGGCAGGGTCGAGGAAGGAGCATGCCGAACTTTGCTGAAGGGAGAATTTGGCGAGAACATCAACTGCTGAATTGGTATTTCGACGACGCATGAGCTTATAATCCACAGCCCATGCACGATCTTGAAGAGAAGCGTTGGCTCTGACAAGGGTTGAGGGACTTGAACGTACGTTTGAATAAGAAACCATGTAGTAGGCGTGGCTGCTATCAAGTTGACACTGAACTTTTCAAACCCTTGTCCAAGCAAACTTTAGACCTTCAAACAAACCCTAAAGTTTCGCCTGGTTTGGAGTATCTTCCTAGTCATGGATAGGGACGAGCGGCGACAATCGTCTCTAAAAATTTAAAATTATCATATATTTTATATTTTTATGTGTATTTTATATTGAAAATTACAAGAAACTAAGGGAATCGAGGAGAAATACTGCACACACTTCACATTTATTAAATCTCAAAGTGCCTTTATATAAGGCTACAAACAGTTTTCTTACAATTAACGAAACAACAACAGAAAAACATACAAGTGAAACGAAACCCGTTTTCATCAAAAGCTTAAACGTTTGAAACAACAATAGGTACTGTCCCATCATCATCATCATGATGATCAGATGCCAAACTTACGTATTCTCCTGCAAATTTTCCATGCAGAGCCTTGGAATTCATATAGAAAACTGTATTCATAACCAAGTAATAAAACATATAGAACGGGTAGTAGGAGGCAGCGGGAATGGTGAAAATCTTAATAAAAGATGATGGCCAAGGTTTCCATTTATCACCGGCTGAATCAACCAACCCTAATAACATTGAGCTCCAGGCACCAATCCAACAGAAGAAGACCCACAGCAGTAGAATCTTAAAAGCAACCACTTTCGTTCCTTTAACCAAGGCTTGACTTCGTTTCAGTGGTTCAAGTCCCCAGCTTGATTCAACCACGACGATAACATAAGCGAATATCCACTCCACTTGTAAATGAATGACAAGAAACATGAGAGTGATCGCGTAAGCAAGGCAAAGGAGAATGAAATAAGATGAAGAGTGATCAACTTGGAAGCCTACAAGTTGGGTTGCTTTGAATAATGAGAAAAAGGCCAGACCAAGAATTAAAGCGATCCCGGAAATGATAAGCTGGGTTACAAGCCAAGTTGAGAGGAGAGGGAAGAAGGAAGTGAAAGCTGCTTTGATGGAGGATGAATACTTGACTGGTTGACCGTGAAAGCCGTGGAAAACGCTGTAAATGGTGGAACCGGTGGCGAAGAGAGAGAGTACGGGAATGGTGAGGGTGTAAAGGAGATTGAAGAGAAGGGTTTTAATGGGGAAGACTTGGTAGAAGAGTAAGGAGAGAGAGATGGGGAAGAGAAAGATGAATATGGTAGCTTGGAGGTTGCGGGAGTTGGTCTTGATTATACAATTGCATTCGGATCGGATGGACCAGAGGCCGATGTTTGACGGCGGAGGTGACGGCGGTGTCATGGCGAAAGGAGGAGGAGATGATTTAAGGCAAATCTAATGATATGTTTAATATTTATAATGAATGGAAATTGGAAAAATGGGGTTGAGAAAAGTCCGTTTGGACTTTGGATGTATTCAACATATGTGGATGTCGGGATACGCGTAATTCTATCCAAGTGGGACTAGTTCTTTTTTTTTCCCGGTTAAATTACATTATAGGTCGATTAACTATATTTAAATCATTTTCGGTCATTTAAATTTTAAAAATTATAAAATAATCATTCATTTTTTAAACGATTATAAAATTATGATTATAATATTTGAATAATCTACAGTGATTACAAGATAATATCCGTTTAGAAATTTTTTGAACTAATCGACAACATGCACCCTGCAAACACAATTACTCGTACCAAACAGGGATGATCCGAGAGTGTATGGATGACAGACGAGTACAATTTCGTGGATTTTGCACCGTATATGGTCTAATTGGGGCGGTGATGGATATAAGTTTATTGAGTAGTGAGAGGATGTGAATGTAAAAAGTCATACCCTACATGGACAGGTGTAGGTGATGGGTTTGAGACCTTATCTGCACTGCATCCGCCCACCCCACATCCGTCCTCCATATAAATATTAGACCATTATCAATTTAGGTATAATTTAGGGGAAGGAAGAGGAATATTTCTAGTGAGTCTAGAACTGATAATCTAAGAAAATATAAGGAAACAAAGATAAATAATTTGACCAATCGATCAAATATACTTACTCAATTATAAAAATAATTTTAAAATTTCATAATCACATATTATCATATAATTCTTGGTAGTGAACAAAACTATGCATCACGACACACTAAAAATTTATCTTATTAGTACCATTGAAATAGGGTTTCTCAATGAGTTTCTCTAGGATCACATTAGAAGGTTTAATGGGGTTTGAGGATTTCGTTTATTCTCTGGGGGTTTTGAACGAATTTCTGCTTGTTTCGGCGATATATTTCTCTTGTTTGTTTGGTTACTCATGGGTGAGTCCTCAAAGCTGGATTGGAAGCAACTGTTTGTGGGGACGACTTGGCAATCTTTGGAATTTTTTCCTCCTATTGTTCATGAGAGGGTTTCTGTGGTTCAGCCTCTTGTGGAGGTTTTGGAGCATGGAATTGCTGAGCGGAAACTGTATTTGGTTAGTCAATTTATAGGATCGATGACTAATATCAGTTCGATGCAGAGTATCGTTGATTTATTTTGGGGGAAGTAAGCTTCTATTCAGGTTAGTTTCGCTGAGCAGAATCTTTATGTTTTTTCCTTTTTTTTCGGAGTATGCTAAAAATTGTGTATTGGAGAATGAACCGTGGCATATTCAAAATAAGCCATGGATCATTCAAAAGTGGGAACTAGGCTAAGAAAACTTGATTTTGATCTCTCAAGAATGCCTATTTGGCTGCATCTATTTAATGTACCTTTAGAGCTTTACTCGAGGACGGGGTTGAGCTACATTGCTAGTGCCATTGGAGTTTCATTGTATACGGATTCTATCACGGCTTCGAAGAAACAGTTAGAGTATGCTAAAATTTGTATGGAAATTGGTGTGGGTGATAATATTCCAAAGTATTTGAATGTTATGTTGGGTGATGGGCTAGTTGTGTCTGTTTGTGTTACTGTGTCTTGGATGTCATCCCATTATGATGCTAGGTTTGGAAAGTTAAGGTTGTAGTTAATTTTGGGGAACCTGTGGGAGATAAATAGGTTGGTGAAGAATTGGTTCCTGAAGCTAGTGCTGAGGCTTCTGTAATGGGGCTTGATCCTAGTACTGAGGTCGTATAGGTTAATCAACAGGTTGAGAATGTGTTTGAAAGCATTAATGAGAGTGCTACTCTTTGTGCGACTGTAATTGAAGTGGTTCATCGGGATGGGAAGTAAACTGTTGAGAGTAAGGAAGGCCTTAGGGATTTTCCTTTTTTGTAGGCATCCTTATCTAAAAAAAAGCATTGGAGTAAGGCTAATGATAAAAAATTGATTGCAGGATCATCTAACAAATTTGAGGTGTTAGCTAATGCTGCTGGTATAGAGGGAGCTAGGAAAGTGTGTGTTACTTCACTGGGAGTTGCAGTCCTCTTGAATGATATGAAAGGTAAGAAGAAAGACCAAGTTGATAAGTTAGTTTTCTCTGATGTAGTGGAAGGGGTGAGAAGGGGAGTTTCTAGCCCATCTCAATGATAATTTGTTTCTGGAACATAAGAGGGTTTAACAACTGTCTTAAGCAGGTGAGGGTGACATCTAAAATGGATAAAATTAAGGTGGATGTTGTGTGCCTTATGGAAACTAGGATTAAGATTGGTTATGTGTGTGTAACATCCCAAACTATATGTTAGTGACCAAATTGAAAAAATTCAGAATTTAATGACTAAAATAAAAATTATTGAAAAGTTTAGGGACTTATATGAAAATTTTGGTGTAGGATTTAATTACAAAGAAGGATGAATGGAAGGGTAAAATGGTCATTTGACTTAGAAATGAATTAAAAATAGAAAATAATAAGGATATATACGTGGGATAAAGAGAGATTTCTCCAGAAAAATCTCATTTCTTCTTCTTTCTCTCATTCTGCCGTGAATCACCATAGCAAAGGTGAGTCTTCTGGTTAGTTGATTATTTGTTGATTTTAAGTGTGGGTTTTGATTTTTAGGTGATAATTAAGCTTAAGGAAAGCTTAATCTGTCTTAAAACAACAAGATGAAAGGTATAGGAAAGATTAAAGAAAAGAAGTGAATAAGTGAAATCTTGGTAGAAAGATAGTAATTAGATTTCCTGATCAAATTTGACTTGTCATCAACCTAATTAAGATGTATGAAGTGTTAGAATTAGAATTAGAACCTATTGTAAAGTTGGTATAATTATTGAATTACATATGGATGATAGGATTTTGAGGTTAAAGAGGTGATTATTGAGTAGGAATGAGTTTAAGTATGAGCAGGTAAGTTAAGGATAAGTAAAGGGAATGAAATATGAAGCATTTGAGTTGAATTGAGTGAATTTTCGGGCTCAAGAGGTAATTTCTGGGCAAGGTGTATCAGTACACATTCAACAGGTACCGATGCACTCTTGAACGAAAAACCATCGAATGCAATATGTGTATCGATACATAGGCAGTGTATCGATACCCCCTTGAAACAAATAATTTCGAATGTAAATTGGGTATCGATACCTAGACAATGTATCGATACCTCCGTTACGGGATGTATCGATACTCTATAGAGGGTACCGATACCTACGCTAAACAAGAAATAAAATTAACATTTCTTTTAGTTAAGAATTGGAAGATTAAAGTATACCATTGGAATACTGATACGTATCAATGTATGATTATGTAGATATTGAACGTAACCCTATTATGGAACAATCAAAGAATTAGAATCGATCCGAATCAAGTGAGGCTAATGTGAGTGCATCTTAGTTAGTGTATGATGTTTAATGGAAGTATGACTTGTGATGAGTCTATTTCATGTATTAGAATGCATAAACTCATGAACATAAGCATGTGTTTAATATGAGTATATGTGGTATATGTTATTATGTATGTTATGTGACTATGTTAAGCCATATGACTACAAGTTATGAGATTACATGATACAAAATACAAAACATGTAATATAAGCTATGTGAAAGTGATCTATGAGATCATATGCCTATGTGATATGAAATTGTTCCAACTGTAAGTGAAATACATGTTTATATGAATATGTGGAATAACATAAATGATAATGCCCATGTTATGTGATATGAGAGCTATGGGTATAGTTGGCATGCCAAGAGTCGAGGGTTCTATGTGGTCATTCGGGACATATATGTAATCCTTTGGAACATGTATGCGGTACTTTGGTACACTTATTTGGTCTATTGGAATATGTATATGGTTCTTAAGGAGTAGTCCTTCGGGACATAGTGGTCCTTTGGGACAAGTGTTCAGTGCCCTTAGTGGGAATTTATACGAGCTGTGGTGACAACATAAGTTCACAACCTCAATGAACTCACATACCTTAAGTTCTCAGTAATGTACATGAGCTCATAAAAGATATCAAAGCTGTTTACATTGTTATATGCTATCAGGTAATTATTGTTTACACTGTATCATATGTGATATGAATGTATTTGAATAATTAGATTGCATAGTCACATTATAAGAAATGCATTATCATATTATTATGCCTGACTAAGTCTATGACTTAGCGTGCAAGTGATTTACACGTAGGTACTGAGAAGCAGGAGAATCAAAGCTAAGTGCAACATAACAAAATACCTCCACTCGAAGATCAGATCAGAAGTAAATTATATAGTATGTACTTTGTCATATTAAGAATGTTGGCATGTAAATAAATAAGTGATATACATATGCTCTGATCGGTTTTATAATGGTTTAAATATATTTATGTAAACGGTAAATTTTACAGTAAGGAAAGTTTAAATTTTCCAGTATTTTATTATTGTAACATCTTTCAATAGTCAATGTGACACCTTGGATTCGTATCCGGGTCAGATACGGGTTAAGGGTGTTACAGTGAGTGGTTGTGTTGCTAGAGTTTCTGATGAGTGGAATTGTTGTTCTAATCATTTTGCTGCTAACAATGGCAGAATTTGGATTTTTTGGAGGAAACATTTGGACTTTTTGTTTTACAGGAGGTTGATTGGACCATGTCAATCTTTGGGGAGGTGGAGGTATTAAAAGTGTTATTACTGTAGTATATGGGAACAATTCTGGTGTGTTTAGAAAGAATTTGTGGGGACAGATGAGGGATTTAAAAGGTTTAGTGGGGAGTTCGCTTTGGTTTGTTGGGGGAGACTTTAACATTGTAGCTAGTGTTGAAGAGAGTTCTAACTTTGAGGTCGTTGGGCCTCATGAGTCTTCTGAAATGGTGGACTTTCAATAGTGTTTGTCTGGGCTTGAGTTGATAGACCATCCTTATGTGGGACCTCTTTTTACATGGTCAAATAAGAATTACAATACTTTTTTTACTTGTAAGCTTG